GGAACGCTCATGGTGCGGATGAAGACACCCATTCTAGACTCCCATTCTCGTACTTGTCATTATTATTCCGCGCACTCTCAATTATTATTCATGGCACGTTACATGTTCAAATTCTCAATGTCTCATGTAGTTTTGTCGTTTTTTCGGTCCACGTCGGTTCACTTCGGCAGTTTGCGCAATCGCGAGTTTCTCGCGATTTTGGAACTCCACCTTCGTAAAAAATCTCAAGTCCTGATTTCTGCCGAGGGGGTCATTTGTAGAAGCAAGTTCCGAGATGTCTTTCTGCCGCTCTTCTGCCAAATTCCTTCTCTGTAGAGAGGTTCACCTGCAGAAGAGATTGTCGAACTGCTTTTTTGCCGAATTTCGGCAGAAAGCAATTCTGCATGAATGGATCATTGCGCCAATCTGCCTGAAGTCCTTCTGTAGTGCAGTATCAAACTCCAACTTTGCTGAGGGGTCGGCTGCCGAATGTGTTCCGTGAGCAGTTCTGCAGACGATAGTCTCTCATGTGAACAACCCCTAGCATCAAATCGGCAGAGTCCTTCTTCACTCCTTACTCTGCCGAGGTCATCTCTACAGAGACCACATGTCGTAGAAACCAAACGCATAATAGTGCCCCTATTCCGCCACATTGACAGAACCACTTTTCTGCCACTTCGACGGAAACACTTCTACCACTTCGACGGAACCACTCTTCTGTGATGAGCTTTTCCTGCAGAGCCTCGCTTTATTGACAAATCTGTTCTTCGTGGACAAGCCTTTGTGCAGGGCTTGTCTCCGCAGACTTCGTTGATATGCCACTTCGGCAGACTTCTGCAGACTTCGCAGTATGAGGGCTATTCACAACGGGGATTGCTTCCGTATTCTCGACTACTTCTAACTTTCCCCTGCCATGATCATGGTGCCAAGGCTCCCTGAGGGACGACATGACCTGGCGTTGTGAGTTGAGTCTATCGAACCCCAATCAGAGATTGAGCAGCTGCAGCGGTTTGTCGACAGGTCGATAAAAGCCTCTGAATTGTCAAATATATTGCAGAATCTGCATTTCTGATTTGCCCAGCTGCTAACGTTCATGGTGATTCCGCGCTGCTGTTCCCCTTTTGTGGAGATGGCGTAAAAGGCGTGTTATTTGTGGGTGGATGCAGTTTATTAGGCTTGGAGATTCATCATGAAGACCTACAAGATGACGGACGATGTATACATCGCTCATATGGAGCACAGTCAGGCAAGTCTGGAAATGGGAGAGAATGAGACCGCTGTTGCTTACAGCACTCGGTGCACATCAGATTAACGCAGTACTCGACTACCTCCTACGTGACATGTTCTCAACGGGATGACATCACAGTATAACTCTCTTCACGCATGTTGAAATTTCCAACCTTTCGAAAGAAGCTAGATGAACACCCTCACTATGAGAGGATGAGGTTTGTCGAATCCTTGAGCACATCTATTAGTTATACTATGTGTGTTCTTTTTATATTTCTTTACGTGACAAGTCATGCATTCTGTTGAATGTTTTGTCATCGTCACCAAATCTCTAGAATCCGCATGGTGCTTCTAGATGGTGTTCATACGGACAGCTTCACTCATCTCTAGAATTCTCCTATAAGGTCTTAGTTACCTTTCCATGGAGTTCTCGATGTATAAATATGATAGTTTTTTTGCTTGTATTCAAGACTTGACATACATTCATTCAAGCTTCCACTAATTCCAGGACCTGTGACACTTGGAAATTAGAGTAAAAGGTTTATGATCACCGCTTTGTCGTTGGACCTCTAGGAGCATGCCAAGGATGGAGTTGAATTATTTTTTTATCGCGTAAGTAAATCATTTTTTCTTACTACAGTAAGTTTCAACTAACCTCAGGGTCCCCATCAGTGGCAAAATGCGACGCCAACCGTTCGATATTTTGTGTCAACGAAGCCTGTTTTCAGGAGGGTATACGTCAAAGACCATCCCATGTGGAAGATGTCTCCGAAGTACCAGCGAGCGTTCACGAGTATTTTTTGTCCTTCGAAGAGATCGACGGGAGCTGGTAAAACTTGTTTTGTGACATTTCCAAGAATTTTGGACTTCGCGTTGAATCTTTGAGTTGCGTCGGAATATGTGGAGCGATGATCTACGATAGCCGTGCGATGGAATTTCGACGTGTCAGATCGTCTACGGCGAAACGAACTACAGCTGATGGAGGGCAAGTTTCAACGCGAGTTAAAACAAGTCCTTGCATACCGCACGTCTGATTGAGAGATATTCGGCATCTAATACTAAGAATTGCCGCAGAAACGAGTCGAACTCGACATTCTATGCAGCTAAACGCGATGCAAGAATATTTTCAGATCGCTTGGAGTTTGGGCTATCGGATCATCATTCCAACTAGTGGACCAGATTGAACGCGACATTCTGTTGTACGAGCAATTGAGGTCAAGAAACAGTTATGGAAATTCATCACGGCGTATAAGTGCTTCTCGACCTCAATTTATAGTCCAAATTCGGATATTCTCATTCAGTCATGAACTTCGGCTGCCAAACTTCTCGACAGTCACAAACTCAAAACGTAAATCCGAAATTCAGGTCAGAATCGTTGTCCCCACAGTATAAGTTGTCAACGAAAGGCTAGCTACTTAAACGTTACAAAACTCAGGTACATTGTAGCTTTTAATCTCAGCCGTCTTTCCTGGATAACACTTCAGTCAATTGTGTATTCACGACACTACGGATTTTTACGCATAGGGGGGTATGCTGTAGGAGAACTTAATTCAATCTCAAAGTTCAATCATTGAGTTCCAAGAAGTATCTGCTAAATTCAAAATAACACAAAACACATTCACAAACTCCGTAAGTCACCACATACAAATTCTTGCACACATTCAAACCATGCATGCCATATGGAAAATATTGGATGGGAGGAAGACAGAATGTGATAGCATATGATGACATCACACAACAGGAATAGGTGGTTGGGCAGCCGCAGGTCGAGGATGTCGGTCGCTTCGGCGCAGTTGCAAACATGAAGGGCAGGGGATGGAAGGCCGAAATGGAAGGTCAGGGGAATGACAAAGTGCGAAGGGCCACGACAGAAGGAGGGGACGATGGGGATGGCATGAATCCAATCCTATGTCCCGTAACCAACCAGGGAGAATAGCTCTTGAGTATGGGTGGAGCAGGGGTTCGACTTCATCTCCCATGAGGCCGACACTTGGTCGACGTACCTGGCGGCTTGGACTATGAAGAACAATTGGTGTCGGAGGGGGGTATCAGAGGGCTTCGGGCGCTTGGATTGTAGCAGCTCCAGAGCGGTTGACGACACGACCGCCTCACATATCACCAGCTGGGTATGTGGAGATGTGGGGCTCGTGAAGGGGTGTGTGAGGGGGCGGACCATAGCTGCTATTGGACGTGAGTAGCGGTTGCACTTGGGCAACGCTGGGAATGCGTGTGTGGCATGGATGATGATTTCGCCCCCCACATCGGCCTTCCACGCCAAACTGGAGAGGGAGAAAAAACTCATGCGAGAATGCCGTTGTTGAAGTGAGGGCAGATATGGAGGCGAGGTCATGCAGACACTAGCCTACTACAATGAGGTGAGTACTGCCTTTAGGTTCACTGAGGTCTAAGAATCGCGAGGTGGTCAGCAGCAAGCTGCTCGGACCCCATGCCCAACGGCCCTCCCCCAACGCCGATTTCGCAACGCGATAGTAATTCAACAAAATCGGCAAGCTTGATGGTGACTTGGGGAGTGTCTTCGCCAAGGGGTGGGCCTGTCCAAAGTGTTACAGTCAGCGGCCATGGGTGTTTTTGACTTCAGTGCATCAAGAACTTCCGGGCTTGACTCGCTCGCTGGGGTTGTATTGAGCGCTATCAGGGCACGTCATAGGCTGCCACGTCGCACCAGTCCCTCAGCTCGAAAGATTTTGCCGAGGACATCTGGTACATATTGGGGCGGGGGTGGAGAGTTGACTACTGCTGCTGCAGGTTGGTACACCGCGTCCTATTGGCCAGCGAGGAATTGCTGCTGTCGTTTTTCCACCGCGCGCCAATTTGGTCGCTTCAGCGGCAAGGTGCAAAGGGTGATTCAGGGGGCTAAGAGTGACAGGCGTCATCCTGTGATGGAGGTTGGATTTTTGGCAAGACAAAGGACCTGGCCGAGTCAGTCGAAGACCTGGAAATGTTTGGGGGGTGATGGCTAACGGCTCGCATAGCGGGGCGATATCTCAGCTGACGATGGGAGCGAATCGTGATTCATCCCTTGCCGGTTCTTCTAGGGATAGTTGGCAGGCTACCTAAGAGGGTGGGTCCAGCGGTGCCCGTGCATTTCTGGACATTCTGCCCTTGAATCTGGGAGACAGTATTGCATCCTGTGTCCCACCCTGTTGACCAGCGATCCCCTCCTCCACCTCAGTTGTGTTTCTCAGTCCCTATTCTCTTAAAGCCCCGTTTGTAGCTTGATGGAACTCGTTCAGCAGCCCGCCTTCCTTTGCAAGGTCTCCCATCCTAGCCTGTCCTTTCTTGCACCCCCGACCATTATCGCCTCATCCCTGTCCAGCAAACCTTGGAATTTGCGTGTGGAATCCCTGTGGCAGCGTAGACGAGGCCGTGTGCATAGCGCAGATTCAAGATGGAGTCGCTACATGGGGCGGAGGGGGCGGAGGGGGTGAGATGTCCCCATTGTGAACGCTCCGCCAATTTGGAGAGCACATGGGAGAGCACGTCGCGAAGGTGAGCAAACCCCTGCCCCCGTTCGAATCTTCAAACACCGGAGAAGATTCTTGCATGACAGGGGAGCCACCCGTTGATGCCACATCAGCCCGAAGGGAGGACTAGCTAGTGTGTAATGATGTCGGTGTGTTGGCACCTGTCGTTGTACTTGTCGTGTCTTTCACGCTGTATGTTGATTCTTGCGTGCTGTCCCCTAATGCACGGCTGGAGACCGACGGCGCAAGCCCCACCAAGGAACCTGAAACTAAAACAGAGAAATGAGAGGCAAGGATGCTCTAAAACCGAGAAAGGAGAGGCAAGGATGATCTAAATACCAAGAGGCATAGTCTCTCTCTCTCTCTCTCTCTCTCTCTCTCTCTCTCTCTCTCTCTCTCTCTCTCTCTCTCTCTCTCTCTCTCTCTCTCTCTCTCTCTCTCTTTCTTTCTCTCCCTCTCTCCCTCTCTCTCTATCTCTCTCTCCCCTCTCTCTGCTCTTGCTGTCCCTCTGTTTTCTCTCTCTCAACCCCTTCTCTCTCTCTCTCCCTCTCCCTCTCTCTCTCTCTCTCTCTCTCTCTCTCTCTCTCTCTCTCTCTCTCTCTCTCTCTCTCTCTCTCTTTATCCCTCTCTCTCTCTCCCTCTCTCTCCGCTCTCTCTCCTGCCACCACGAAAAGGAGAAGTTGAAGAACGAGGAGGGGCATTCACTCCGTATCTCATTCACTCCATTTCTCATTCATTCCAAATCTTCTCATTCGCTACACCTCTCATTCACTCGTTATCCCATTCACTCAATGTCTCATTCACTCCATATCTCGCTCACTCCACATATCACTCACTCCATATCTCACTCGCTCCATATCTCAATCACTCCATGTCTCACTCGCTCCACGTCTCACTTGCTCCAAATCTCACTCGCAACATGGTGCAGAAGGATAGGTGGCAATTTATGAGGGAGCTGGGAGGGGGATTAAAAGCAGCAGCGGTAGAAAAGGCTTCTGCAGCGGCACCAGAGAGCTGGCGGCAGGTCTTACTGGGACAGCCACGAGAAGAGGAGGTCACCAAGGAAACTATATTGATTCGAAAGGGCAGGCTACCGGAAGCAGAGAAATCCCTATGGTTGATCACAATGGTAGAACAAGAGATGCTTATCTACATAAGCGCAGCAATGGATGAGAACAGGTTGATATCAACAGCAGGAACCCAGGTATAACAGGGAAGTGGAGGCGACAAAAGCTGTACCATTGAATTTAATACATCCACGGCAGAGTGATGGGACTGCTCAGCGCTCCAAGAACGAGGATGAGATGCACATATCTATGCGTGGAACAGCTCCCAGCGGGAGTTAAATCGCAGGAGAAGACACTGCATGGGAGGTAGGATAAGCCGAAGCAGCAAACTACGTGGGACGAGAAGTGGGGCAAGAAGATCAAGTGGGGCAGAGTGATAAAAGAGGGATTTGAAAGTGACCCCGGTCAGGGCCATGGAGATCTTGCTGTGGCTGCACATCTGCAATCTGCAGGTGGGGAAGCGGTTGGCCTTTCTAGGGGACAAAGGACACTGCCTGCACTGTAGGGAAGAAGAGACAATGGAAGATCATCTTTACACATGCCCGAGACTCCAGCTAGTCATCGGCACGCTCAAGATGGTGACGCTCAGGCACGAGGTCAGCGTTTCCAAAAGCATTGATGGCGACGGTCACCTTACACCGTCTGTGGTTGGACAGGTGTGATGCAGTGTTCCGAGAGAAGAAGTTCCAGGTCAGGAATAGGCCAAGTCTCGATGGCGTTTCATGGGAAATTGAGGGCCTACAACAGGATCAAACTTTGGGGTGCAACGGATAAGCAGCATACAAGAAGTGATACGAGATGGGGCCACCTGGCAAATGAAGAGGCGAGAGTCATGGGCCGGATATGTGACACGAGATTGAAGCTTTTGTTGTGGAACAGTGGTTTCCAATGCATCTAGATGGACCCGAGGACAACTCATTAGCCACCGTAGAGGAGGTAGGGGTACCGCTTGTAACGAGCCCTATACTACAGTTACGACTGAGGATATCTTGCATTGTAATATGCCTCTTAATGCTTTATTCCATCTAAGAAAGACAAATCTCACTCGCTCTATAACTCACTCGCTCCATGTCTTATTGTTGAGAATAGCCCTGATCCTGCGAAGGTTGCAGAAGTCTGCGGAAGCAGCGTATCAATGAAGTCTGCGGACACGAGCCCTACAGAAAGGCCCATCGACGAAGAGCAGATTTTTCGACAAGGCGAGGCTCTGCGGGAAGTGGCAGAAGAGCAGTTTTCGTTGGTGGCAGAGGTTCTGGCGGAGTGGCAGAACAGGAGCGCTTTTTCTGCATATGGCTTCTACAGATTTCTGGGATTCTGTAGAAGCGGTTGCAGTAGAATTTAGAGTGTACAAGACCCTCTGCGGATTTGGCACCAGGGACCATTCGCAGAAGGGATGTCCTCTGCAGAAGTATCGCGCAGAAGACATTTCTGCGGGCGACCCTTTCTGCAGAAACGACTCTCGGAAATGCGTTCCGACAGGACCTCGGGCGAGTAGCGCAAGAACCTGTTCGCGCACAATTGCGTTCTGCGGGAGTTCGGCAGAAATGCAATTCGGCTATCTCTTCTGTGACGACCCCCTCAGCAGAAAAGAAAATCGGCAGAAGTGCAGCAAGAGACTTATCTCGGACTTCACTTCTGCGAACGACCCTTCGACAGAAATCACGAGGAATTAGTTTTTCTGATAAAGGTGCGTTCCGAAATCGCGAGAAATTCGCGATTTCGTAAGTTAACCTCAGAACCGATCTTGACCGAAAAACGGCAAAATCTACCTGCGACATTGAGAAATTGAACACGTGACGCGCATTTCGTAACTGCGGAAATGTGCGTAACATCTGACAGTTTCATATCTGAAACTGTTAGAATAACTACTTCTAAGTGGGTAACAATTACCAGCTAAACATGTGCTGTAATTTTCACCTGCCATTGCTGACTTGGCTAAGCGCAGCTTAAAGTAGTTATGTAAACGTTCTAGTGCGAACGTTCTCGCCGTGTTCAATGAGGCTCAATGGGGTAGTACTAGTGTTTGCCTTGTGTACCATACTCTGTAATCTTGATTCTAGTGAATTTGTGTGCCTAAGCTTTCTCAAAAGCTACTCAGTGAAACACACAATTCTGAAGGCAACTTTCTCCTTAGAAGAACGACAGAGCTAGAGAGCTTTATCTGCGTCAGGCACTTCCGCAGAAGCTCCCGTTCTAGCAGTAAACTCTGCACTTATTCCCTCCATATTTCATTCACTCAATATCTCATTTACTATTTCAATGCTTAAGCAAACTCCTAATGAGCATGCTGCCTATCTCCACTATCTGTCAAAACTTTTAATTTGAGTAAATATAGGTCGGAGAACATCGGTATCGCGCCCTACTTGCTCTACATCTTGCTCGAACTGCAACAACCCAAGATGTTTACAAGCCCGTCACTGCATCCAAAAGCAAGGAGATGAATTGCAATGTCACCCCACCCCCTTGATTCCTCCACTTACACCTCACCAGCATCAGGCATGGACTCACTTATTTCTACTTTTACACATTGGAATACACTTCTTTATTTCTGCGGCCCTCCGAAGCTTTACCAACAGCACAAGCATAATGAGTTTCACAGCAAACCCGGTGGCCAACAGCACCGCCAAGCACTCCCACGTCCCCACCTGGTTTATTGACCGCTCCAACAGCACCTGCATTCCAGCCAGCAAGCACCCCCCTGCACCCACCCCAGCCTTCTCCAACTTCGCTCGCAATTCCGGCGACAGTTCCTTCAGTGCTGACTCGGGGGATGGGTTTCTAGAGAGCTCTGAGAGGATCTCCTCCTGCAGTTGCTCTGGAGTTGGAGTGTCTCAGAAAGAACCTTTTGCTGGGCTTCCTTGCATTCCCTTGGGCATGTCGGAGAACCTGCTGGAAAGGCTTGACATGGTGTCGTTGGCACTCATGTAGCAAGGCTTGGGTGGAGGGAGGTTGAAAGGCCAGTTAGGAGTTTTTTTTTTCCTTTTTTTTTCCATCAGCATGTATATACATGCAAATTAACGAGGTGAGGGACAGAGAGAGCGTGGGAGGAGTTGGGAAAAGGGGTGGATGGGGGGGAGGAGGAAGAAGAGGTAGGGAATGTGAGAGTACGACCCCGTTCCATTCTCTTCTCCTTTCCATATTCCCTTTCCATTTTATTCCTCTTTTTATCCTGATCCATTTAGATTCCTTTTTCTCCTTTTCCATAAACCTTTGGTTTATCCTATTCTTATCGTTATATCACAGACCAGGCTCGGGGTGTACTGGCGCGCTATATCTAGCGTAATCTTGTCGTAATCCCATAAAGCCACTAGCCTCGCGTGGCTATACGCAGGGTGATTCTATTTTCTAGAAGGGTCTATTCCATTGGGATAAGATAAACCTGGTTACCTGATGTACTTTGGAAGTATAAAAGCGCCTTGTACTGAACAATAGGGCAACATTTTCTCGACACATTCTATCCTGTGACACTTGGTAATCAGAGCTTTTCTCACTCGGCCGCGCTCAGCTAAGCAGCCGCAGCGGGACTCCTGCCTCGAAAAACCGCCGGAGGTGACCAATTCGATGCCGATTCTGGTAAGCACCAGCTCCAAGCTTTTTCGAATTACCCCCCCCCCCCCCCCCCCCCACGCGTGTTTTGAACAGGATGGCAAATTTCGACAACGTCGAGGTTACCCAGCAGCTCTTCGCGCGCATCGCAGCCCTTCAGGAGGAGATGCGAGCCGACCGCGAAGCGTGGCAAAACGAGTTCGAGCGAGTAACTCGACTCGCCAGAGCGCAGCACGACTCGACAACGGCAACAACGCAGCAATCGCAGCGATTTCTCGAGGCTCCGAAACCGTTCCCACCTGAGCCGTTCGATCCGAGCGATCGAAACTCCGACGCTCGCAGATAGATCGCCGGGATGGAGATCTACTTCGCAGCCGTCGGATAGAGCTCGCTAGTCTGGGACGGTCAACGCGTACAACTCGCAGCGACGCTGATGCAAGGACCGGCACTCAAGTGGATCGGCGGTAACAGCACGTTCATCCACGGCGAAGCCACGTGGCAGCAGTTCCGCACCGACCTACTGAAACGTTTTGAGCCGATAAATTCGGGTTTCCTCGCCCGGGAAAAAAATCATCGCCATCGACAGTTCGGGAGTGTAGCGCAGTACACGCAGCAGATGGAGGAATTTTATAACCGCATTCCCGACCTGACCGAAGGGGAAAAAGTGCAGTCGTACCTCGCCGGGCTGAACACCGAAGTCAAACAACAAGTGGCAGCGTCAAACTACGCGAGCTACAGTGACGTCGTTTCGGCAGCGGAACGCTTCGACATGGTCAACGCCGGAACACGACGGGCGCACGTCAGCAGTACGCGGCAGGGCGACCGCTCGGCTCACCCCACGTTCGCCGACCCGATGGAAGTCGACAGGTTTGAAGGGCGGCCACGTCCGAAAAACACCAACTTCACGTGTGATTTTTACGGGGTGCTGGGTCATCGAATCTTCGACTACAACAAAATGAAAGTCGCACGCGCTGAGTATCGGGCACGCAATAGTGGCGGAAATCCTTCGGCCAATCAGAAGCCAAAAAACGGGACTCGCCAGTGATTGCGGATCTAGCTGGCAAAAAAGAAAAGATCCGAAAGCGGTCGTGGACTTCCGGAAATATCAACTTCGACGCAGCTGATTCGACGCGAACAGGAGAAAATGATGGGGAAAATCTCCATCCCACGACCGGTCTTCGCCAGAGGAAATCGCCGAGGAAAAATCTAACTCCGCGAAAAAGGACTCTGCCAAGACGGGGAAACGCCTTGAAGACCCAAGAAATTATAAGGATTCGTTAAAGTTATCTTGTAAAGATGCTTTAATGAAAACTTGTAATTCTTGAGGGGCTAGAGCCTTGGAGAAAATTCAGGAGGGACTCCAGAAGAAGCAGAAAATTGTGGAGATCATACCTGTACCGGAGAACTTGGGGACCAAATTAAGGAGTGTGGAAAGAAGCCGACCTTTCCACGGAGTCAACGTCCTCTTCCAACACCAGCCCACAACGACCACCCGTTCCCCAGGGAAGACGTCGATGGGACTGAAGCAGCTCAAAAGGAAGCTAGGGGTCTACAAGAAGCTGCAAAAACCCCGAACTCCTCCTTCGGATGCATCCAGCTCGGCAACTTCGTCAACAACACGAACAGTCGTCACAGAAACTCCGGGCCCTGGAGAAGAGCCTTTCTCCAAGCAGCCTCGGCCAGCTGCCAGCTCAGGAGTAGGAAGCAACGAATATTGGGATGTACCTAATGACCCAATCAATGAAACTATCTTTGGGTTCTCCGAGCAACGCCTGCCCCTCGTGCTCGAGGTCATCTGCAAAGGACGACGCCTCCAAGCACTCGTGGACAGCGGAGCATCGCACACCATATGCGACAAGGCAACCATCGACCGACTTCGAGAAGAGTACAAGCCATCAGCGTTTTCTGCAACGATGGTGGACGGCAGCAAGTTACCAGTGTACAGCGAAGCAGTGCTACACCTACAAATTGGACCACTGCGCTGGAAACCTGCTCTCCCCATCACCAATATTAAAGGGCTTGACTTGATCTTCGGGCGAGACTTCCTCAAGAAATTCAACCCCGAAATCTACTGGGTAAACCGCACCGCAAGCATCTACAACAAAGGAAGGAGAGTCCAGCTACCCTAAGTTCACCAGTAAATTCTGGAAAGAACTGATGTCTCTACTCGGAACCAAACTCGCCATGTCATCCGCCTAACATCCGCAGACAGATGGACAGACCGAGCGCCTCAACCAAATTGTGGAGCAACTCCTCCGCGCAGCCTGCAAGGACGAAATCTCTGAATGGGACTTGCATCTGCCCGTTCTGGAGTTTGCCTACAACAATGCTACTCACGCCGCTACTGGACATACGCCGTTCTTCCTCTATTACGGGCGTCATCCACTCACACCACAACAGCCAACCATACCAGCCACAGTCCAACCCGCTCATGATTTCATCACAACTATGCACAAACTTTGGGATCGGACCCGCAAGCGCCTTCTCGACATTCAGCAACAGTAGAAGCGCCAGGCCGATCGCCACCGCACAGACCATACCATCACCGTAGGAGACCGAGTACTACTCGACACGCGCAATCTTGACATCAGCCATCTCCCATCCAAATTGCGACCTCGCTTCTGCGGGCCTTTTCTCCTTGAAGCACAGGTCACTCCTGTTACCTTCCGCTTATGCCTGCCAGCTACATGGAAGATTCACAACGCCTTCCATGTCCAACTTTTGAAGCCCTACCGAGATCCCAACATGATCTTCTCTGGATGCCAACCGCCGCCACCGTCGCCCGTCCTCGTCCATGACGAACCTGAGTACGAGGTCGAATCCGTGCTTGCTCACCGCCGTCGACAGAATGGCACCGTGGAGCTTCTCATCCGTTGGAAGGGTTATGATCCTTCAGAAGATAGCTGGGTCTCTGAATCCGAGATGGATCACGCTCGTCGTCCTCTTCGCGACTACCTTGTCAAGCAGGGTGTTACGTCTACTACCCAGCTATGAGGGGGGGAAGTGTGAGAGTACGACCCCGTTCCATTCCTTTCTCCTTTCCATTTCATTCCTCTCTTTATCTTATTCCATTTGGATTTCTATTCCTCCTATTCCATCATCCTTTGGTTTATCGTGTTATTATCATTATATCACCGACCAGGCTCGGGGTGTACTCGCGCGCTATATCTAGCGTAATCCTGCCGTAATCCCTTAAAGCCAACAGCCTCGCGTGGCTATACGCAGGGTGATTCTATTTTCTAGAAGGGTCTATTCCCTTGGGATAAGATAAACCTGGTTACCTGATGTACTTTGGAAGTATAAATGCGCCTTGTACTGAACGATAGGGCAACCTTTCCTCGACACATTCGATCCAGTGACAGGGAAGGCGCTTAGGGAGGAATGAGGGAGGAAGAGGCAAAGAGGGTTGTGGAAGGATGCATGATACGTGGCAAATCGGTTGATAGCGAGAGCTTCATAAGCGTATTTACTTATGAGCACTGCTGGCATCTACTTCCTTGTAATGGAGAAGCCACTAACGAGGTAGACGTATGACATGATTGAGATGGCAATGGCATATGCCAGGACCACACTGCAAGGGAGGGAATTAAGGAAGGATGGAGGCAAAAAGAGGGAGGATGGAGGGAGAATGGTGGCGCGATGGAGACAGAATTATGACATGCTTGCGATGGCATGCGCATACGCACTGACAACACTTCGAGGGAGAGGATGATGACAATAATGATAAAAGAAAGGGGGGGAGGGGGGGAAGGGGAGGGGAGCGGGGAGGCAATGTTGCAGGGAAAGGTGGAAACACAGAAGGAAGAAGGGAAGCTGGTAACATGAGGAGGAGAGGAAGGTTAATGCATATAGGAGGGCACCTGAAAATCAACATCTACACAAGAAGAGACCAAAAAAATACACGATATCCATTTATTTGTCACATGCCACGACAAAGAGAAGTGTCATCGGGGTGATTTACAGGAAAAGTAGAGAAAAACCCATGATGCATATATCTATAGAAGAATATTGTGCCTCCATATGAAGAGGCTTGCATTCAATAAAAAAGTCACTCACACCTTGAAGCTGATGTTGACACATATCGCGACGGTGTTCGCAACGAAGGACATGATGAAACATGTGAGCACCATAAGCAAGAACCCCTCTGCGCCACCCGCTAGGCTGATGCTCCCCCATGTACACTAGGGTTCTTGACACTAGGTAGGCCGAAGGCCCGTACATGGTCTTGGCTGATTCCCTTATGAATATTGCGTATTCCTGTGGCAAGGTGAATGGAGGTCGGGAGATGGATAGGTTGCACGAAAAATTAGGTAACATACTACAAGAACATACCATACGAATATTGTCTGCTACTAGAGCATATCACTATTAGCATAACATGTTCCATGGGTATGCCACAACAAGTGTAACACTATACAATGACATGTCACTATGAATGTAATAATATGCCATGACATGCCACCACGAGCATTCGAGCATAAATTAAACCCTCTGGATCCAGCTCCCCACTCTCGTGTCCCCTCGCTACTGCTATCCCATCAATCCTGCCCGCTCCTCTCCCTCGTGCATTTCTTACAGTTCGCCATGACTTTGAGACATCTATTATGCATATGAAACACAAGTAACGTGTTCTTCTAGAAGTTAAGGTTTGTTTCATGATCCAAATAGTAACCAAGGAAAACAAATATGCTAAAGTAAGAGAAGTGGTACCGTAATCCCCTGGGTAAAGGCACAGGCATTTATTAAACCCAGTAGACTTATAGAGTGCAAGTGCGCTTATACATGTTATTTCATTATAAGCGCACCCTGCTTTTTGAAAAGGATTCTCCTAAAAACGCATCAATTTGCTTTCAAATAACGATTGAAACACGAAATTGTTGTATCAGAAATTCCCGCCAGCCATCCTGCGGCTGTCCCGAAGTCCTCCCGAGCACCTCGCAAGCGATGAGCGTTTTTCCTGCTCACTAGCTCTAACACTGATTGGTTGATTACCCGTGGATGTGGTGGCATAATATTTGCGAGCAGTTTCTACCCAATCCATACACACGACCCCCTCTAGAGAATGATCCGTTCGATCACATTTACAAAGAACGACATTTTAGTGCCCTCATTTTGTTTCCCATAAAAGTATTTTCATAAGCGCATGGGCTTACATTTCTTGTTATTTGATTAAAAGAGCATGTGAAAATTCAATAAATTCCCCTTAAGCACTTATGCGCCTACCGTGATTCCACGTGTATAGCACCGCCGGAATAGTCACTCCATGGGTTGTTAATACTTATGATAAAGTGCATTATTTAGAGTACCCACTTTTTGAGATAACAAATTATACATAACGCCCCCCGTTTTATTGCTTGAACTACACTGAACAGATTGTACATTCAACCACATTGGTCCTATCACTACCGCAACATTGCAACAAGCTTGAATTCCTACTCATTGTTGCGTACCAGAATAGCATCCAGTGACTAGCGCAAGGCCTAGATCTTGTCCTAGAGCTTTCTGCTCGCAATTAGGGACATCATTTACTACCTTATACTCTTCGTCATCCTCATCTCCAGCATGCCAAGCCTCAACTTCAACATCGTCGGACGCAATATCGTCCCAGTCGTTCGCTTCAGTTGAGCGGGAGGCGGCCAGTCCCGCAAGCACCTCCGCCACTAGCGTCGATGCTGATGCTGCAGCTGCTGCTGCATTCACTCGAGCCTCCGCCATTGTAGAGGATTCCGCCACGTCGGCCGCGCCAGGTGTCGTTGGTGCATACTGCGGCAGGTCGACGTCGAGAGTGACGTCACACTCCTCGTCCTCCAACAGCTCATCGGTGGTCGGCTCTAAGAACCCGGCTTTGAAAAGGGGGTTCGTCTTCTCGCCGATCATCTCAACCTCCACGTGCACATCGTCCATGACCTCCAGCTCCGCCTTGTCGCGCATATGGGTGAGGATGAGGTCGTCATCGAGGCCGTCAAGGTCGTTGGAGATACCGCAAGTCTTGAAGGCCTTGCGGATGAGGTCGGCGGGGAATGCCTCCCAGGCGGCCACGATCCACTGCAGCACCACCTCCGTCGGAGGCTTCTTCAAATTTCCTGAAGGGGGGACAGAGGTTGATGTGCATTAGGCAAACTGGAGTGAGAACTGGAGCAACATGTCAGGGCAGCCGTAGGAGCTGAGCCCAAGGGTGAAATTTCTTTTAGTAAACTATTCAATCCAATGTGTGGCACTGTTTTCTTATGCATATGACCGCGAAATCCCACACACATCACTCTCGAGGCTGATTTTGGTGGCGAGTGGCCAAAATCCAAGGCGAGTCAAAATTGACTCGTGAGACACCTGGCTTGACTTGAGTCAGGCAGAATCCACTCGAGTCAGCCCCTGACTAGACCCTCAAATTTGAATCACGCGTAGGCTTCTCCAAAAGCTGTCTCGATATGACTCGACTCGTCTCGACTCGAGAGAGTGCCCGACTCAACCTTGACTCGAGCTGAGTCGACTCCATTCAACTCTTGCTCATGTCTACGGGGCATGGGACATGAGGTATGACAGATGAAGGTGACTGGAGCAGGAGACATTTGAAACGGGGCATGGGGCATAAGGTATTACAGATAAAGGTGCGTAGAGCATGAGACATATGATATGGGCATGGGGCATACTGTAAGTAATTATGGATGAAAGTGCATGGGGCAGGAGACATATGATACGGGGCATAGGGAATATGAGGATGAGTTATGAGTATAGGATGAGAGAATATGGTGTGAGCAACTTGAAATAACAATGTGTTGTGAACATGTGATGTGCTATGTGGTGAGAGTGTGTGGTGTGGAAAGATAATCCGAGCATATGACATGATAATTTGATATAGTAATGCCAAAACATGATTGGGTAATGTTAAAAGCAGGCATGTGAGGGTGTGATGTGAGGGTATGATGTGAAAATGAAATTGAGTATGGAATGGATGTTTGTGACATGAATGTCCATTGTAATGTGAGCATGTGATGTGAGGGATGTGCGGAGATCATGAGGAAACGTGATGTGAGTATATAACAATGAGATGCAATTTATGAAGGGACAATGTAACGTGATCATGTAACATGACTTGTTCATATCAAACGGTTATGTCGCATGCTAACATCTTATTCTCCCATCATGTGTACATTCTATGGTAACATATCACATTCAATTCATATGTTTCTGTTATAATGTCATATCACAAACATAGTCACATCAAATCCACACATCCCATCCTCACGTTACATGCCCACATTGCATGCTCGCATCACATTGCATCCTTGACTCACGGCATGTGGTAGGGATATGTTATGTGATTTGGTAAAATGGATTGAACATTGTCAATAAAAGTAAAGGATGATGAAAATCAGATACGGCAGAAGATCAGAGGGCATTAGCAAATGAGAATGGTAGAGAGGGAAGGGGAGAGAGTGGACTAAGAAAGCCTTACACCAAGAGCTATGGGGACAAATGGCAGATACGAAAGAACAGAAAATCTGGGTGTAATTGAAGGTTTAGAAGAGGGGCAGAGACTAATGATCATGGGATTCTGTAAGCTGTGGTGATAAGGGGAGAGGGATGGGCAGGAATAAGGAGGAAATTATGCAGAGGGGTAATACAATTATTTTTGCTTGCTGCCAAATGGCACACATCATATTCCTTGAGGCATATTGATGCCACAAGCCCCAACCTCAAAACGACCATTCCCCAATTCCTTCATTTCTCCCCTTGAAGCCCGCGGCCCAAAACGTTCATGCTTTAGAAACATGACAAGGCCTAGGTGCTGGGTGTGGAGTAACAAGAGGTTTGGTTTCGTGTTTTTTTTTTTTTTTTTTTTTTTGAGTCCGCAATGCACGGGGGCAGGAGCTCGGCTGAGTTGCAAGAGTCCCGAATTGCAATGACCCAGTTTCCAAGTTCCCGTAGGCCAACCTACCCAAACCTCCCCAGTCAAGATTAGAACCACTCTGCTGCCTTCGTGAGCTGCGTAACCCCAGTTTTGTGAAAAAGACACCCACAA